AAAAATCATCTGACACATCATGTGATCAAACTAACATTTCATTTATAGTGCTGCAGAGATCATCTGACACATCATGTGATCAAACTAACATTTCATTTATAGTGCTGCAGAGATCACCTGACACACCATGTGATCAAACTAACTTGCATCTGCAGCTTAGGTCAGACTCAAGTCTAAGAGTGTACATAGTTCTTAATAAAGTGGCCAGACCTAGTATATATGATTTTAGGACAACTGCAACCCTGACAACTGCTCCCCTGACAACTGCCCCTGCAGCCATATCTTCTTATATTAATATAACTAAATAAAATAGGAAAAATAACACGTATTTCTTATATTTTATGGAAAAAGAATTATCTAAAACTGTTTAACCCACTCGCTCCGGCTATCCTTAATGCGCATTTCACGAGGTTTTAGGTTCTTTTTTGGACTTTTTGAGAGGAAAAGCTCACAACTTGCAGTTCTAGTGTACTTACGTTATATAACTTTGCATAGTTCAATATTTTTATGTTATTACAATATACAAAATTTAACAAGAAACCTGTGTTATTTTCTCCTACTTAAACAGTATATATATATATATATGTATATGCATTTACCTGTAGCGTTCGAGATCTACTTTGTTTCCGATTAACACTAGGGGACACTCTGGGTTTCCTCCATTTCTGTGGTTCTGAATGACCAAATCAAGGTATTTTTGGGCATATTCAAAAGTTGGACGACTTGTAATGCTGTAAACGACAAAGAAAGAATCGGCCCATTTCAAATATCTGTCCGGTTCTCTTCTTTCCTAATTTGAAGAGAATAGAGTTTAATGGTTTTTTCCTTCAAAGCTGTTTGTAACAGAATGTACTTTTGAAAAAAAACAGAGATAAAATATTTTTGATACAAAAGTGTTTGTACCTATATATGGATTATGTTTTGAAAAACCTATATTTTTGCCAACACAAAGTTGATGTAGAAAAAGAGGCGGAAAAAATTATGAAGTAACAGTGAAAACTTCTATGATATAATGGGCAACACTTGAGAGCTAGTTTTACATAAACTGGTGGTTAATATTGTAAGATAGTTCTATTTTGAATCAAAATTTCTTCCTTTCACCGTTATTAACATTTTGTTGTAATCTGTTGTTCAGGGCTTCCAATTGCTACAAGTAAAGAAAAAACTTTTCAAAAAAGGAAGTAAATATAGGGATGGCTAATATCCATCCTTCAAAAACAATAGCAAACAAGATAATAGGGGTAGTCATTTGCACCATCCCTACATAATAGCACAGGGCA